CCTTTGAACCACCTCCCTATTTCAGCTGTTGCACGCTCACATTTTCTGTCTTTTGCCCCCAAGATTCCCCAGAGCAATAAATCCTCTATTATCCCATGCAAAAGACCTCCCTCTCGTCCTTGTCTCCTCAGAGCACAGACTGACAGCCAAAAGCCGTAGAGTGAGTACTCTAGTCACAGCTGGGCTCATCCTGCTCCTGGGGTGTGACCCACTCCTGTGCAGGCCCCAGTGACAGAGCCAGATCAGCTCCCGTGAGATGTGATATATTCTCCTTCACAGAAGCAGCAAGGTTAAGCTCTCATTCAGCTTTCACCTCTCTACTTTTCTTTCTGCAGGACCTAACGACATGCTTAATCATTTCCTGAGTTGCCTGTCCCTCTGTCCAAAGGTGATGCACCCTCATCTTTTTCCTGAGTTCCTGCAAAAGCTCCCTGCCCAGCCAGGCCAGGCATTTTCCTCACTAGCTTACTCTGGTGTTGGAGTCTGAGATACAGAGTGTGTGCCCTTGTTTCTAATACTTAGTTCTAGGATTCAAAGAAACACTGAATTTCATATAACATGAAATTCATGAGCATGTTTTCATGGTGATACATGAAAACAAATGTTAAAGCTAGACAGCAAAAGTATAAGTGTGTAAATTAGAAAGTTTCTTAAATCACGGGGTGAAAAAGTAGTTTAGAGAACAGGAGACAAGATGGAAGATTTAGGGTGTTGTCTCTTGTCCTTCTCCTTGCTTCTTTATGTTCTTCTCTTAAGGGTTTTTGGGTAGTAGTAAGTGATTGGGTAAAAAATGCCGCAGTGCAGCACACAGGTGTTGGGTCTTTGGGTCACTAAGAAAAATAATTGAGTTGGCATCTGTTAATTGGGTAAATGGACATATAAAAGACCTGAAGAGGATCTTTGTTAGCCATTTTACCCTTTTCTATCATAGTGCACACAGCTCCTTGTACCTTGTAATGCTGATAAAAGAAGAATGAACAACTGAGACCGAACAAGAGAAAACTGCCTCTCTCTCCTCAATCTTCAGTTGAAAGGGAAAAAGAACCTAATCCAAAAGTCCCTAACGAGACACCCAACAGCAAGGGTTCTCTCAGCTGCAGATGACGATCGATGAGGACCTGCAGAGGATTGAAAGATCCATCTTTCTTTTAGAGAAGTCACTGTCCTCACTCTCTGAGGTTGTCTTACAAAATAGATGTGGGCTAGATCTTCTGCTAATGCAGCAAGGAGGCCTCTGTGCCGCCCTGAAAGAAGAGTGTTGCTTTTATGCTGATCACACCGGAGCGGTCAGAGATTCTATGGCTGAACTGAGGGAAAGATTAGCCCAGAGAAAGAGAGATAGAGAGGCCCAACAAGGGTGGTTTGAATCACTGTTTAACCAGTCTCCGTGGCTGACCAGCCTGGTGTCCACTCTGATCAGGCCAATCATAATGATCTTACTGGTGCTAAACTTTGGACCATGTTTTAAATAAGCTTGTGTCTTTTGTCAAGAGCCAACTAGAGAGGGTCAACATCCTGTTTGTAGAAAGACAGCAGATGCTCTAAGAATGCACTTGGTCACCTCCTGTGCCTTATTGTTTGTTAATGAAACACTGCGGTGTCTATTTAATAAGTATTTAACCTTTTTACTTAAGTATAGTGCACCTTATATTTTTACTCAAGTCTATTATATCTACTTTTAAAACTTTTCATAATATAGATAAATTAGATAAAATGATTAAAAACAGATATACATAAAATAACATTAGAACTTAGAAGACTAATACAACTCATATTCTAGCAAATTTAGTTAAGCATTAGGAGGGGGGGAAATGTGGTCAGCTAGGGCCCGGCGGTCGGAAGATATCGGGATGTAACGGAAAGATGGAGTCACCCCCCTCCTCCATAGTTTATGGTAATGACCCCCGTAATTAGCCAATAGCACCTAGCTGTGATGAAAGCAGATGGGAGTGACACTGTGAACCTAGGTTATAAAGTGTCAAATTCTCCAGCAATAAATGCCATTTTTGCCATCCATCACATTGGTGTTGGGTGCAAATGGACCGAGTGACCTGGGATTGGTCACCGTGCCATTCCTGAACCAAAGATAGAGCAATCTCTCTTTCCTGGAAGGTGTTCAGCTTTGAACAAACTAGTTTTGCTGAAGATGAGCCCAGGCAGTGGTGAGTTAGAGCATTTGATCAATCTCCCAGAGTATCCTCACATCTGTTTGGACACAATTTCTCTTTGTTTTTTCATGGTGAATGCTTCCTCCTGCCCCGCTGCCTCCTGCTTGGAGTTGTACACGCAGCAGAGTCCCAGAGTTTTCTCAGCAGGCCTGTGCAGCGAGTTCTGAGCCAACGTGTGGCTCTGCTGCCATCCCAAATCTGCGCTTTCCTTGCCCAGCCTGAGCGCAAGTGGGGCATGTGCTGGGCGTGGCTGGAGATTTTCATCACCAAAATCCTCCAGCGTCAGGGCATTTCCATCTGCCCATTGCTTTGGAGAGCACAAATCACAAACCACCCATCTCAGCTGATAAATGTCATTGCTTGCAGATTGCTGCAGCCGCACAGCTGAGCTACAAATACACATGAATCCATTTCAGTTGAAAAATGTCATTTATTACAAATTGCTACACCTGTGCTGACAATACACAACTATAAAAATCTCCATTAAGTTGAAAAATAGTAATTTATTACATTAGCACAACAATGCCATGTAAAAATATACAAATACAAACTTCAGTTAGCAAAACCGTAACTTACTGCTAACCTCTACAAGTCACTATAGACAAAGATTAATGAGGTGTTTAACAACTTAATTTATTACAGATTACTACAATCTTACAGCCCATATAGAAATACAAAAATATCAGTGTTTTCCTCTAAATAACCCAGTATTTAGAATTCGATTGATAGAATTATACATCATACATTTTTAAATAGAACTAAATACCTCTACATATACATATATAACAATCTACAGATGGAAATACAGATTAAATATTACATATTTCACACAATATATATACATATAGATATACAATCAGAGGGATCCCAGCCGCCCCATCTTCAAAGCCTCTCCCTCAGTGTTTTCCTGCCATGCAGAGCAGCTCTCCTGGACAGGGACAGCAGATGGGACATCTGGGAGGCAAAGGGAAGAGCGAGTCAGTGCTGGGACCTTTCCCTTGGCAGCAGCTGCACTTCCAGCAGGGAAGCGAAAATCTCCGAGCCTCCCCAGGAGGGTTGGCAAGAACAAGCAGGCCGAGCGGGCCAGCGTGTGGCGAGCGCAGGCGCGGCGGGACTGTCCCGCAGCCCCCGGCAGCCCGGCACAGCTCCCG